GCCACGGGCAAGGGACGTCCAGCGCCACAGCATCCGCAGCCGTTGCCGCAGCAGCAGCAGCCGTAGCCGCAGTTGTCGTTGCCTGCGTTCGCACTTCACCTTCTTGGTCTTTCTTACCCCTCGACTAACCGCCCTCCCCTGTTCCCCCCTCACCGTCTCTCTAACTCTACGATCCCACGTTTCCTCCCCCGGTCTCGTCTCCGGCTTGTCTTCCTCTTCGTTCACAGCTGTCTCCCCCTCTGTCTCCTGGCCTGACTCCTGACTCCCACGTCTAGGTACGTCGTCCCTCTCATGCTCGCCCCGTGTCTCCCCTGCCCGGTATACACTCTATGCTCCTCTGTTGTCGTCCCTCTCATGTTCCGCCACCCTATGTTCTCCTGTTGACTCCTCCGTCGTCCCTTATTGTCTTCTCTCATCCGTTCTCTGACTTTCTCCGTGCCAGACACCCTACGGTCTCTCCTGCTTTTTCCTCCCTCGTTACTGACCCCACTGCTCCTCCTCCGTTCGTCTCTACTGTTGTCGCTGCTGTCGCTGACTTTGCCTCCACCCGCTGCCTTGACTATGCCACTCAGTTGATCTCTTCTCTTGCCCATCATCCGTCCGTCGAGGGTGTTCCTCCCCTTGGCAGTGACGTCCTAGAAGACAGGCAGTATGAGCTGTCTTTCCGTGCAGCCGCTTCTCCTCGTTTATGCTCCATGCTACTAGCCCTCGTGGGTGCCCTCCCGACCCCTCGCACCTACGCCGAGGCAGTCTCACGACCCTGGGCCCCTCAGTGGTTAGCAGCCATGGACACAAATATGGCATCTTGGAGATCAACACTCACCTACGTTGTCTCAGCTCCCCCTCCTGGGGCGAACGTAGTCGATGGTGTATAGATCTTCAAGGTGGTGTGGCCACCTGGAGAGCCACTTGTCTTCAAGGCGCGCTACGTGGCTAGAGGCTTTAGTCAGCGGGAGGGGGTATACGTCTTTCATACCTTCTCCCCCACCTTGAAGATGACCACTCTTGGGGTACTGCTGTACATCGCAGCGCAGCGCGACTACGAGCTTCATGCGCTTGACTTCTCTACTGTCCATCTGGCTTCACTAGGTCCTTTCCACCTAGGACCCAGTGGAGCTTTCGGCAGCCCATCTACGGTCTGCGTCAGGCACCTCGTGAGTGGCACGATACACTGCGCACTACTCTGGGTGACCTCCACTTCTTCCCGTCCTTTGATGACTCGTGTCTCTTTGTCCGCGCTGGCTCTACGCCGTTCTACATTCTAGTCTACGTAGACGACCTATTCTTCACTACTCCAGACAGAGTCGCACTGGCCTCGGTGAAGGCCGAGCTGCTAAGGAGACACGCTTGCACTGACCTAGGTGAGTTGTGCCGCTATCTTGGCTTGCAGATCACTAGGGACAGAGCAGCGCGCACCATCACTCTCACATAGTCACACATGGTGCAGCAGATCCTCCACCGCTTCGGCCTTCCGTTCTCCTCTGCCTGTTGGTCACACGATCTCGGCCACAGACCCTGACGAGCTAGTTGAGCTTGGTGGTCAATACGCAGAGCTGGTGGGGTGCCTCATATACCTGATGACCTCCACTCGCCCAGATATTGCATATCCTCTCAGGATCCTTGTTCGCTTTGTTGCGATTGGTAGACATCGACCTGAGCACTAGTCGGCTGCTAAGAGGGCATTGCGCTATCTGGCTAGTACATCAGGCATGTGGCTTGTGCTCGGAGGACAACAGCCTGCTTCACTTACGGGGCACACTGACGCGTCATGGGAGACGACATCAAGACTCTCAAGTCTTCTCAGGGCTACTGCTTTAGCCTTGGCGCAGAAGCGGTCTCGTGGAGGTCCACTCGGCCGTCGTCGGTGGCACAGTCTAGTTGTGAGGCAGTGGTCTACGCTGGCGATATGGCTGCTCAGGAGCCCCGCGGGTTGGTGTTCTTGCTCACTGTCTTGCGTGAGTTGCCTAGGACTGCTTCGGTCATGTTTGCTGATAACATGGTCATGATACTCCGGTGGCAGGAGCCTAGACTAGAGGGCAGGGCAAAGCACATCCGGCTGCTGTACTTTCTGTTGCGTGAACTGCAGAAGCGTGGCCATGCACATGTAGTAGACTTGGCCTCAGGGGCCAACACCACTGATATCTTCACCAAGGCGCTCCCGCCTCGTGATCACCAGCGGCTCTGTACACAGCTTGGCCTTGTCCCAGCAGGACCTCAGTTGCTATGATCTTGATCCCTGTACACTGTACTTTATTTGATTTTGTCTCGTTATACTCATTGACGGCCCTTACGGGCCTTAGTCTTAGAGGTTGGGTTGGTGGTATCGCCCTGAGTTGTACCTCATGCACTTTGTTGTTCTTGCTGACTGGCTTTGTGTCCTCTTACCTCAGAGGCTGGACTAGTAGTGCCGCTCTACTAGACACTGCCCTTTACCTAGCCTAAGGGGTGTGTCAAACAGGGCTGACTATTCAAAAAAATCCAGTCTGATGTTCTGGGGGCTCTGAAAATTTTTAGTCTGAGGCATATTTCCCAGAGAATGGCCACTCTGATTTTTCAGGTTCCGCAAAAACACAAGTCTGAAGTACTCAGAACACACTACAACCACTACAGTACAGCACTGCCACAAATGTAGCACGTGGGGCGCAACGCTAACCAGTTTCCCTCGCTGACACCGCGTAGCTGCAGTGATGGTCCCGCGTGAGTGGAAGAGTGAGCCAAGTTGGCAGATTTCTAAGGGAAAAGGGTGGCAAAAGTTGCCAAGGACAGATTCTGCGCGTGACAGCGCCATGAAGTGTGTTCGTACACTGGCAACATATGACGTAGCGGAATGTACGTAGAAATCACAGATCCGCATTTCAGGATCCGTACTCCCTGTAGTATGAAGACCCATTATCGGCTAAGTCAGTACTCTGAAAATCTCAGGATCCAAAACCAAGTAAGTCTGAGGCACTCATGTTTGAAAATCTTACAAGTCTGAAAAATCAGGATCCGTAGGAAAATACCCTGAGATTTCAGACAATCAGACTATTTTAGTCTGATAAAGTCAGCCCTGGTGTCAAAGTACACCTGTACATTTTATATGTGTACAATCTCGTGCTATAGAGGATATGGGTTGCTACTTGTACTCCCTTGTATGCTCGTTTCTAGTCATTCTCAGTTTCTAACAGCAAAGACTACAGGTGAGTGCCACGAGGCATACGGGCTATTTCCAAAGTACCTAGGCTTCGCGTTCAGGCATTCACATTTGCGCTTCGCGATTCGAAAACCTAATGTTTAGATTCCTTCATGCCACGGCATGAGTGCACGGGAGGAGAAATTTTGTACTTCCGTTATGTACAAGGGCAGTGCACATGTTCTCGAAGGATGCTTGTTTTCATGTTATGCGGCATGTCCCAACTATTCAGCAGCGCAGGGAGGGAACAATGTTACTATATCACTTCTTGCTTAACTATATATGAATTGTTTTATTAATCTAGATATTGCTACCTTATTTATCTCCTGGATAAATCACACATGGGTTTACAAATCTCTCTACGTTTTGATAAAACATCCATATGCGTTAGTCGATGATGGCAATACAGTTAAGCAAAGTATATCCGGTTCATTTTTCAAATAGTCAGCATTAAAAATGATTAGATCAGATGTGCATCCAGCCTTCAGCTGATATGATTTTGTTTTATCATATATAGTGTCAATAACCTTCGTAAATTAATGTGCTGTTTTATGCTTTTTAGTTCTACCATTTTATGCACACTCATAGTGTACCAATCCTGGCGTTCCCGTTACTGTAGCACCGACATTCTCGGCCCGCATTCTCCCATGATTCCCATCCACTGTTCTCCCCTCACCTCCCTCCCACTCTCCTTCCGCTCCACTTCTTCGGAAACCCTAATTGAAGCTTCTCCCAGCTTTTCCTGTCCTCACTTGTTTTCGTATCGTCTGCTGCTTTCGGTTTTCTATCCACCCAGCTAGTTTCGGTCATGTGGCAATGATTTCGTAGCTGCGACGCTCCTAACAGGGGAACTCTCATAGTTTTCTAGGTTTCTTAATGCGTTAAGTTTAGTCGTTTCTATTATCTGGATGATTTCAGTGAATTAGTGCGATTTTGATTTTTATTTTCGTCGTTTCGTCTGGCGTAGTTAAGGTGTTTATCATGGATCGAGCTACTCACGAGCCGTGCTGCTCCCATTTGCAGGCAAGTAATTTCTCTGCTGAACACCATTCCCTAGTTTTTTTCTAGTCTTAGTGAAGGTTAAAGCCGTTTAATTTAAACCGATGTTTCTTATTTCTTGGCAAACGCCTCACCTGTGCAATTTTTTTTTTTAACCTTAACATTCCCTTCCTTGCTACTGACATCCACGTCGTGTTCTTGCCCGTTGTTTCAGGAAGTGGAAAGCCTTCGTCAATTGCTGAAATGCGCAACGGAAGAGCTTCAATCCGCGAGAACCGCTGCTGCAGCACAGGGACAGCTGCACGAGGCCCGGGTTCGATACCTGGAGGAGCAATTAAACGTGGTGAAGCGGGAAAGGGACGAGCTTAAGGAGCAGTTAGAGAGCGCGGAGCAGAAGCACAAGCAGGAACTGGACCAAGCCCGATCGGACTCTCACGCCTTAATCCGACCGTCCATTACAGGCACGGTTACCGAGCCTGTGGACATGGCTCGGGTTGCCGAGCCTGTGGTCCTGGCTCGGGTCGAAAAAGTCTCCATGACTCGGGTTGAATCTGTGAGCATGCAGACGGCTCCCAGTGCGTTGACACCTGGCTCTAGCATTCAGCAGTTCCAGCAGGGTGACACGTGGCAGATGTCCCCTCGAACGACCACCGTGTATCACCACGAGCAGCATCACCAGCAGCATCAGCCGCAGCAGCCTCAGCAGCAACAGCAGGTGCAGCAAGTGCAGCAGGTGCAGCAGCAGGTGTTTCATCAGGTGCGGGTGGAGAGCCAGCAAACGACGGAGCAGCACCAAATAAGGACGTCTTTAGGAGCGTCTAGCGTTCCGATGCTTACTGCTGCTCCGCAGCCCATAGCAGCATCCGGATCAGCATCAGCTCCTGTGATTGTGGAACTCCCGCCCGAGCCTGTGGTTAGTCAGTCGCAGGCGCAGGCGTCGCAGGCGACTCAGGCGACGGGTCGTGCGACAGGCCAGCAGTCGCAGCAGCCGCTGCCGTCGTCGCCTGCTGTCGCGCAGGTGCAGTCGTCAGGGCCGTCGCATCAGGCTTCGCAGCTGTCGCAGGAGCAGCTGCTGGCGATGGAGATTCAGCAGAGCGAGGAGCAGCTGCGACTGCTGCGACAGAAGCGACAGCAGATCCATGAGGAGGCGATGGGTGTTGATTCGCAGAGCCTTCAACAGCAGCAGGAAGAGCAGCAGGTGCTAAACCAGCAGCAGATGCTACGACAGCAGCAGCAGCAGCAGCAGTCGTCACAGCAAGCGCAGCTGCAGCAGCAAATGCAGCAACTGCAGCAGCAGATGGAAGGGCAGCTGCTGTCTGCACAAACCGCTCCTGCTGCGACCAGCACAGGCGGAGGCACGGGAGGCGCACCTGCTCTCAGCCAGCCGCAAGCCCAATCTTTGCCACCCTTCCAGCAGCAGCAGCAGCAGCAGCAGCAGCAGCAGGCGAGTCTGCAGACCCTGCAGTCGTCTGTTCCCGCGCATCCTTCCCTGCCTGCCGTCCAGTCGACTGCTCCCACTTCCTCCAGCGGCCTCCCTCCAATCCCGGGGGGCTTCTCCCAAGGACCTTCCTCGGGTTCTCACCCCCAGGCCTCGATACAGTCACAATCGGTACAAGGGCAGGGCATGCAGGGAGGGGTGCTTGGACAGGGGATTCAGGGTCAGGGCATGCAGGGGCGGGGGTTGCAGGGGCAGGGGTTGCAGGGGCAGGTGTTGCAGGGGCAGCAGCAGCAGCAGCCTGTGGTGCAGCAACCGACGGTAACCGGAGGGCAGGTGCTGACGGGTTCAGGCGTAGCAGAAGCACCGCCGTCGCCACCATCAGCCGTTGGAGGGGGCTCCGTCCCTGCGTCTCCTGCAGTGCGCACAGCCTCGGGAGGAGGTTCGGTGCAGCGTGCCGGACCTAGCTCGCTGCTTCGGCAAGGGTCCGGGGTGGGAGGTGCTCCCCAGCTAGTGCAGTCCGTGCCTTCGTGTCCTCAGGTGGGATTCGAAGTGGCTTCTAGCGCGGATAGCTTTCCCAACCAGCAGGGTCAGCTAAGCCAGCAGCAGCAGGGACAGGGGCAGGGGCAGGGTCAGGGGCAGGGGCAGGGGCAGGGGCAGCAGGGTCGGATGGCGAGAGTGGGTAGCTGGAATGACCTGACGCAGCAGAGTGGAGCAGCAGGGGCTGCGGGATCAGTAGCAGGGGCGGGCATGCAAGGGGCGGGAGTGGGAGGAGGAGCGGGTGTGGGAGGTGCGACTGCCCATGGCAAGGCGTCCTCTCTTGCTCCTCGGAAGCTGCTGCAGCAACTGCCGCCCATGCCCCCACAACCGCAGCAGCAGCAGGCGCAGCAGCAGCAGCACCAATCGCAGCAGCAGCAACCAGCGGTGTCTGGCCAGCAGCAGCAGGCACAGCAAGCAACGCTGTCTGGCCAGCAGCAGTCTGTCCCCCCTTCCCCTCTGCTGCATGCACAAGGGCACATGCCCTCTCATGCGCTAATGCAGGCGCAGGCACAGGCGCAGGCACAGGCGGAAGCACAGGCGCAGGCGCAGGCGCAGGCTCAGACTCAGGCGCACGCACAAGCCCACGCACAGGCACAGGTCGAAGCACAGGCGCATGCTCAGGCACAGCAGCTGCAGCAGCCGCCGCCTTCCCCTGCGCTCCAGGCAGTGGGAGCGTATCAGGTGCAGCAGCAACAGCAGCAACAGCAGCAGCAGCAGCGACCGCCGCAGCAGCAGCAACAGCAGCAGCAACCTGTAGCGGCTTCGCCACTCCAACCGAGGCAGCGTCCTCCCCCTTCCCCCATGCAGCAACCACAGCAGGCGCAACCACAACCACAACAGCTGCAGCAGCAGCAGCAGCAGCAGCAGGTGCTGATGCAACAGAAGCTTCTGCAACTGCAGCAGCAGCAGGAGCAGCAGCAGATGCAGCACCAGCAGCAGCTGCAGCAGCAGCAGTTGGAGAAGCAGCAACAGTTGGAGCAGCAGCAGCAGTTTGAGCAGCAGCAATTGCAAAAGCAGCAGCAATTGCAACAGCAGCAGCAGCGGCAGCAGCAGCAGCAGCAAGGTGTGCTGCCAAATGCGCAATCGCAGGTGCAACTGCCAATCAGTTCCTCACTCCCTCCTCTCCCTCCTCAACCACAGCAGCAACAGCAGCAGCAACAGCAACAGCAAGAACAGCAGCAACAGCAACAGCAGCAACAGCAACAGCAACAGCAACAGCAACAGCAACAACAGCAGCAGCAACAACAACAGCAGCAGCAACAGCAGCAGCAGCAGCAGCAACACCAGCAGCAACAGCTTCAGCAACAGCAACAGCAACAGGCATACCAACAGCAGACCCAGTCCCAAACCCACTCCCTTCCCCCTCACCAAATACCCTTCGACACAGACGTGAGTCAACCCATGCCCATGGACGTCCTCCCCCCTGTAGCACCTGCTGTAGCACCTGCTGTAGCACCTGCTGTAGCAGCTCAGCCAGCAGACGAAGGCCTGCTGCTAGGCGCCATTCCTCGCCGCATACTGCCTGCTGTAGCTGCAGCATCAGGGGACGGCGCAGGGGGGTGCGCCAGTGGCACTGGCTCCTACTCCGCCTGTGATTTCCGCAGCTCTGTTCCTCCTCAGGTGCTCTCCTCCCCCCATGTGATACCCTCCGTGCCTAGCTCGCCCCAACGCCCGGCTTCGCTTGCTGGCGGCGCTACTTCGGCAGTGGCGCCGGCTGTAGCAGCTGCTTCAGCTGCAGTAGCCACGTCAGCAGCAGCAGCAGCAGCTGGTGTTGACGTGGATCGATGCATTCTCGTGCCAGGCTCGGGGATGATAGTCGGCCTGAGCGGTCTCGAAGGCACGCCCCCTCGTGTGGAAATGGTAGAGCCGCTGGCGTTGAGGATGGTTCGAGAGGCGGGTGGGCGGATGCCGAGTCCTCTGAGGGAGAGCAGGGAGGGCAGGGTGGAAGGGCTGGTGTGCCTGGCTCCTGCTTCGAGCTTTGTGGAGGATTCGGCAGATTCTTGCATCCTGCAGCAGCAGCAGCAGGCGGTTCAGCAGCAACAGCAGCAGCAGCAGCAGCAGCAGCAGCAGCAGCAGCAGCAGCAGCAGCAGCAGCAGCAGCAGCAGCAGCAGCAGCAGCAGCAGCAGCAGCAGCAGCAGCAGCAGCAGCAGCAGCCGCCACCGCAGCAGCAGCAGCAACAGCAGCAGCTGCAATCGCTCCCACAGCAGCAAACCCACCAGCAATTTCAGCAACAGCAGCCACAGCAACAGCCCTTGCACTCACTTCCCATTCCTACGCCCCCAATGGTTCTTTCCACCTACCCTACAACCGAAGACGCCGTTCTTGAAAGAACATCCCCATTACTGGCCCCTCCAATACAAATACAATCCGAGCCAGCATCCGCCCTCTCCAAAGCACCCCCCTTGCAATCCCTGGGGGACCGGCGCTCCCCGTTACCCCCAGGCCACTCCCCCTTGCCTCCCGGCCACTCACCCCTCCTAGTCACAAGAACCCCCGGCTCAGAACCCGCCCCGTTAGACCTGGATAACTGTGGGGGGGGAGTGCACCTGGTGGGGATGCAGTGTGAGGGGCTGCCGGTGGGGATGCAGCAGCAGCTGCAGCAGGCGCAGGTGCAGAGCCTGCTGAAGCTGCATATGCAGGCTGCGGAGTCGATTGGGCAGGCGCAGGTGGGCGGAGAGAGAGGTGGGGTCGGGGAGAGGAGCAGTAGGGGCAGGGATGGAATGCAGCAGCAGATGCAGGGCCAACTGCAGCAGCCACAGCAGCAGGGGCAGGGGCAGGGGCAGCAGATGCAGCAGCAGCAACAGGGGCTATTTCAGAAAGGTGAAGGTTCTCCAAGCACTCTGTCGAAAGGCGTTCTGGGGGGGGTAGATGTGGTGAAGGTGGAAATGGTGGAGATTCAGGACTTGCCCCTGATTCCCCCTATTGATCTTCAAAAACAGCAGGAGCAGATACAGCAGCAGCAGCAGCTACAGCAGCAACAACAGCAACAGCAACAGCTGCTACAGCAGCGATATCAACAGCGGCAGCAACAACAGCAGATGTCAATGTCACAGCAGCAGCACCTACAGCAGCTGCAAGCACAGGCGCAACAGCAGCAGCAGCAGCAGCAGCAGCAGCAGCAACAGCAACAGCAGCAGCAGCAGCAGCAGCAGCAGCAGCAGCAGCAGCAGCAGCAGCAGCAGCAGCAGCACCAACACCAGCAGCAGCAACAACAACAGCAGCAGTTACAGCAGCAGTTACAGCAGCAACAGCAACAACAACAGCAACAGCAGCAGCAACAGCAGCAGCAACAACAACAACAACAACAGAAACAACAGCAACAGCAACAGCAACAGCAACAGCAACAACAACAGCAGCAATTAGGAGACACAGGGCAGAGGCAAGGAGAAGGGCAAGGGCAATGGACAGGAACCCCCCATGGGGCAGGAGCAGAGGTGAAGGCAGAAGAGTATGGCCTCTTTGATAGTTCCCATGGGACACACGGGGGTGCAAACGGGCATGTGAGCGGTCACGGAGCGGGGCTAGGTGCTGGTAGTGGTGGTGGTGGTGGTGGTGGTGGTGGTGGTATAGGGAGTCACGAGGAGGAGGACGAGGAGGAGATGGATGAGATGGATGATGAGGGGGATGAGGAGGAGGAGGAACACCTTCAGCTGCACCATCAGGGGCAGATGCCCCAGTCCCACCCGCACCACCGCTCGTACCCGCCGCACTTGCTCCTCCACCCGTCACACCCCGCCCACCCTTACCAGCAGATGCAGCACCTGCCGCCACACTTCCCTTACTTCCACCCGAGGAATGGCGTGACAGGGCATGCCATGGGGCTCTCGTCTGTCTCCTCCTTCGCCTCTTCTTCCATCCCGACTGCTTCAGCTGCAGCAACTGCTGCTGCTGCTGCTGTTGCGGCTGCTAGTGCTGCTGCTGCTGGTGGTGGTTCGTCTGGTGGTGCCTCTCTCACTGCTACCGCACCTGTGATTGCTGCTGCTGCTGATGCTGGCACTGCTGGCGCTGGTGTTGCCGGTGCGGCTGGTGCTGCTGCTGCTTCTGGCGCCCCACCCCGATGGAACCCCTCCCTTCCCCCACACGCCCAATCTATGCCTCCTATCATCCCACCCGCCCCACCCGCCCCACCCACCTCTGCTTCCACTCCTGCTGCCAACGGCCCTCCCCCTCCGCAGCCCCTCCCTGCTCTTAACAACCTCCCTCGCATCACCGGAGTCCCTGCTGCTGCCACCGCGCCCATCCCCCCCGCACCCATCCCAACCACTCTCAACCCCCTGCTGCTCCCGCCCTCACTCCCAACCCTCGACCCGGCAGTCCTAGCCTCGGTTCTAGACTCGGACGCGCGTCAGAGGCACCTTCCCGAGCCTCCAGACACGGACATGCAGGCAATGCTGAAGGCGCTACCTGAGCAGGGGCAGCTGGTGAAGGCTGTTCTAGAAGCAGGGCCGCTGCTGCAGCAGCTCCTGGCAGCGGCGCCCATCCCCCCTTGGAGACCTTCCCTGCAACCTGCTGATCACCCTTCTGCTGCTGCTGCTGCTGCGACGGCGGCAGCGGCAGCGGCGGCTGCGGCTGCTGGTGCTGATCCGGCTGCGCTGTTTGTGCGGCAGCAGGAGGCGCGAGGGGAGAGGGAGCAGCAGGAACAGATGCAGGGTTTGGGGCAGCAGCACCACAGCCAGCATCACCAGCACCAGCAGCAAGCGGCAGTAGCAGCAGCAGCAGCAGCAGGACAAGGAGGGCAGCAGGGGCAGGCAGGTGGGGGATCATCCCAGCCAACTTCTGAACCGCTTTCCATGCCCGCTGGTTCTCTCCCTCCTTCCATGGCTCCTCTGCCACGTGTCAGGCTCCCATTCGCTCCCTCCAGCGCCGCAGCAGCGGCAGCAGCAGCAGCTCTCGGCGTGGGTCCCTCCCCGATCCCTCTCCCGCACCTCACAGCCGCAGCTGCAGCTGCAGCCGCAGCAGCAGCATCAGCCCGACCCCCTGCCTTGCCTGTCCCTGTGCCTAGCTCCTTCGGCCCTGCCTCTGCTGCTGCTGGTGCTGCTGCAGCGGCGGCAGGGGCGGCGGGAGCAGGGGCGCATCCAGCGCTCTTCCAGTCGTACGGCCCTCCCATTCTCGCCAACGGCCATCTGCCCCAATCATCCTCGTCATCAGCTAGAATGAAAGGCGATGCCTCAGGGCTGTTGTGAGAGAGGCGTCGAGGGGTGTAGGGTGGGCGCTGCATAGCAGCGCGATGCCTAGCGCCAACGGCCAACTGCCCCAGTCGTCATCTGCTTGACTGAAAGGAGACAGCTTAGGGCTGTTGTGGTGACAGGCGTTGGCGTAGTGTAGTAGTGATGGGCGTAAATCGGGTGGAGGGCGCAAACTTAGTGTGAGCATAGTAGTGTAGTGCAACACTTGCTTGGTTACCTGCCCCTAGCCCAACGCAGCAGCAGCCGCAGAAGGCGAAAGAGCAACCCTGAGCACCCTGGGCGGGCGTTGCATAGGTGCAAGACCGCACCATTGTTTAGCAGTGCACAGCCAAAAGCAGGTGAAGCTCCGGGCAGTTGCAGTGATAGGGTATGAGTTACGGTACCGTATTTGTTGTCGCCACGGGGCATCTCCCACAGCCTTTCTTGCAGGGCAGATGGGATCCATTACCGGTAGTTGAGGCTGTTATGGCGTAGTTCCCTTCTCTCAACCCAACCCATCAAGGAAGGAGCGGAGGTGTTCCGTTAGGGCTTGTACATGATGAAATGTTCCGGATGTAAATTAGAAGTGTCTTATCTTGAGCTTTACAGTAAGGGGTATCTCTGGTGGAACTTGGAATGAAAGTGGTACAGTACCAAAAGTGCATGTGTGAACCAAAATCTGGCCCATACAGGTTTCGAACCTGTGACCTTCGCGTTATTAGCACGACGCTCTAACCAACTGAGCTAATGGGCCTGTTTTGCAATCGGACAATTGCAAACTAAATAAAAATGCGTCATTGCTGCAGCGGCGCCGGATCAGTAGAGCTCTGGAGGCCCTTTTGGCGGCCACGCGGAGCCAGCGCGGACGAGGCGGTATGCCCCCAAGCAACGGACGAGGCGGTATGTCCCCAAGCAACGGACGAGGCGGTATGTCCCCAAGCAACGGACGATGCGGTATGTCCCCAGGCAACGGACGATGCGGTATGTCCCCAAGCAACGGACGAGGCGGTATGCCCGGCGGAGGGCTTTGTTGAGAATTGAGATAAGGACAATAAAGTATGATTGCACACTAGAATAGGACAAGATTGAACAGTGGAAATGTAGCGTATGTAGATGAATGAGTTATATGCTTGACAAAAGAGAGAATGATGCTTAAAGCTTGTGACTATAAAGAGAAACTTGTCTAAGATAGGATGCTTGATGAGATAAAAACTCAAAAGAGAGTAGGAGAATGAAATATTGTTGAAAAAATAAGGAAAGTGCAAACACTTACTTGAATGGTTCTTACTCGGGATAGTTGTAGAAGTAACTTAGGAGAAGCACTTCAACTTGAAGGATTTTCTTGGGAGTGACTTCAAGCCTTGGGTTGGATGATGATCCTTCCTATTACAAATAGTGATTATTGAAACACTATTGTGCACTCCTCACCGCAGCAATCGAAGCACGCACTACCGAGAATGAAGGCGAAAGGGCGGAAGTAACGCGAAGGGTCGCACGGTTACGAAAGCATCTGGACCGTCGGGCAGACAGCATCAGGCAGCAGCATTGGCAAGGATTCTGCCCGAACAGTTTCGTAACTGTCTGGAGTCGCACGGTTGGATTCTCGATGTAATAAGGGAATTTACCCCTTAGAGTACATGGCTAGCTAGGTCGATTGGTATTCCCTTGTATTCTTATTTATAGTGCTGTATTTGCATGTTTTATCATCTCAAGCATTTTACATTTACTCTGCTATTGAGGTCACGGGCCCACCATCACTACTCAGCTGTGTGCGAACCTTCATGAGGTGATTCTAGGGACGATCAACTTCTGATCGCAACATGGTATGAGAGCGACTCAGGAATCCTTCGCACCGCCACCACCGAAATCTTCGGCGAACGGAAAGTGGCGTCCGGCACACGCTCACGCGTGAGAATGGCCGGAGGATCCGGTGGTCAGACGAATCTGACGGCTGAAGCGCAGACCAACCTGGCTGCGACAAGCGAGGAAACGACGACAATTCCTTCCGCCATTCTCGCACAACTGCTTCAGCGACTCACCAGCTTGGAGCAAGGACTCCAAACATTCCGGAATGGCGACGCGGGAACATCTTCCCAACCCTCTCAACCGGCCTCGAACGGCCACAATACCGCCCCGCATACCTTCTCCCTCAACACCAATGGCTCAACTCCCAAAACTCCCCGTCCCAGGGAAGAGGCAATTCTCTCTGCGCAATCAAGGTTTTTGAGTATATAAAAAATAAAGACAAGTGTGTGCTTTGACGGCAGAGACTTCTATACGTGGAGCTTCGAGCTGGAGCTATTGCTGCAAAACGCGCAGATCTTCTACTATTTCGACGGGAGCTACTCGGGACACGCTGAAGACACCGACGACGCCAAGGCGAGGTACTACAACAAGTCCCTGATGGCGTACGAAGTTCTTCTGCGAAACATGTCGCCGGCGGAGCAATTGAGCATTCGATCATACAAGACAACGCCTGCTCCAGCCCTCGACGCTTGGCGCCACCTGAATGGCGTCTACCAACTGAAGGACTCGGTTTCGTCGAGCCGCCTACTCCAGCAGCTACTGGAGACAAGAATGGCACCAGGGGAGAAGGCCAACAGTTACTGTCAGAACCAGCAGTAGAAAGTAAGAATGAAGAAAGGAGGATGTTCACTAGCAAGCAGTTGAGTACATATAGGAAACCCTAGATTGGGCTGTACTCGCTATAGAGTACCCCACTGCAGGCTAGACAAATACAACATTCTGACACACCCCCATAGCCAAAGTGGGGTGTAATCAGCACAATGAGCAGGTACAGCAGGAGTTCACAATAAGAAGCAAAGCTAGAGGTAATCACAGCGGGCAAGTGAGGAGGAGGAGGGACTGTGAGAGGAGAGAAGATGAGAGACGGCGGCTGAAGCTGCAGACACACGGGCAACAGGAGCTGCTGGCACAGTGGCTACCGGGACAGTGCGCCCCGGACTACTGGAGTAACTGGCTCACGGGCTACGACGAGCTACAGGAGCAACGGACCCTCGGGCGACAGGCGCAGCAGACTCTCTGGGCTACCAGGACAGTGCGCCCCGGACTACAGGTGCTGCGGACGACAAGACAGCAGCCTCCGCTCAACCTCCTCCAACTGTCCCACACACCCCCACACACCCACTGCTTCACTCCTAACTCCACTTGCACGTCACCCCCCTAGTACCACTCCTTCGGCTCCCACACACCCACCCCCCTCAGCGGCAGCTGCAGCACTGGGAGACGGAGGAGGAGGAGGAGTAGGGGACGACGCACAGAAACCGCACCCCCATACCCCCCACCCCCAAACCCTAATTCAGGAGAACGGGCAGCAGCAGGGGTGGGGCGCCGTCAGAAGCACGGGGGACAGCGGGCAGCGCAGGGGCAGAGAAAACAGGGCGCCCACGGGCCTGGCGCAGCCCGTACGAACCGCGTGCGGGCGGCCCGAGGCGCGCCCTGGCCTGGCGTAGTCCGTACGGGCCGCGCGCGGGCCTGGCGCTGCCCGTACGGGCCGCGCGCGGGCCTGGCGCAGCCCGTACGGGCCGCACGCGGGCCTGGCGCAGCCCGTACGGGCCGCGCGCAGGCTGTACGGGCCGCGCGCGGGCCCTACGCAGGTCGCGCAGGCCGCGACGGGCGACGGGGGGCGACGCGCGGGTCCCCGTCGCCCGTCGCAGCGCCTCCCGGGAGCGACGCGCGGAGTGACGGGGCAGAAAGCCGCCGCGCGCCTCGGGGCGCACGGCGGGCAGAAAACCGCCGCGCGCCTCGGGGCGCACGGCGGGCAGAAAACCGCCGCGCGCCTTGGGGCGCACGGCGGGCAGAAAACCGCCGCACGCTCCGAGCGCGCGGCGGGATGAAAAATCCGTCGCACGCCACGGGGCGTGCAACACACAGAGTAGCAGTAGCAGCGGAAGCAGTGAGGTGGTGGGCCCACCCACAGGATCGACCCAAGGGGATCGACCTGCTCTGATAGCATGTCAGAACCAGCAGTAGAAAGTAAGAATGAAGAAAGGAGGATGTTCACTAGAAAGCAGTTGAGTACATATAGGAAACCCTAGATTGGGTTGTACTCGCTATAGAGTACCCCACTGCAGGCTAGACAAATACAACATTCTGACAGTTACATCAATCGCTGTCGGAGCCTACGCGATCAAATCGCGAAGTTGGGAAGCACGATATCTGAGGAGATCTTCGTGAACATCGTGCTTCAAGTGTCGGCCCAGAGTGGCGGCCCTGCAAGGCGCTTCTCCGACAGCAGGGGGTCATCTCGGAGGCCGCCCTTTGCGCCGCCCTTCTCGTCGAACAACGGGATATGGACCAACAGCGACCTGCGCCGCGACGAGACAGGGAACGCCTCGCCTTCTACGCCGACAACACGGAAGAGCGACGGCCGCGACGCCTTTACTGCAAGATTTGCAGAAACTTCGGGCACCTGGCAGATCGATGCAAACATCGATCTCGCCCTCGTCAGACCAATCCGAGCAACTGGTCCGGACGACATGACGCAAGGAACGACGCGCGTCCTGCCCAAGGGCATCAACCCCCACCGCGCAACATGAATCCAACGATTCAGCATCAGCAGCAGCAGCCACCAACTGCTCCCGCTCGCAACGTCATGGGCAACATGACAATGACGAGCGGATCTCGTCGTCCCCGTGCGCGCTCAGTATCACCGGAGGAGGCACGTCACCCAATCGGAGCGTTTTCGAACAACAATCCGTTCAGCACGCGCCACGATTTCACTGACGACGACAACCAGGACTGGAATCTTCCAGTCCCGCTGCTTGAAAGCCCCCCACACGTACCCGATACAATCGACTGGATCACGCGCGAACAATTTCTCAAGGTTGACACACCACACATCGTTACTCCGCGACTGGCGCTGCTCGCACGTAACGACAACACGCGCTACAACACGTGGTACCTGGATAGCTGCTGTGGTCAGCACATGGTGGGATCTGAGCGCTACATATCCAACGCCGTCGCCACCCCCACCGTCACCTATGTCACCGTGGCGA